CGAAAACCATGTGAACAACCAGATATGACTTGGGTTGATGTTTAGTGTTGAATAACACCCATGATTTCGAAAATGAGTTTTGAAAATTTTATACTGATTTTTGGAAAGTCCGGAATTTCTTTAAATCAAAGTGGGGTGTTACAGCATGCCCACCCTCGGAGGGGTGGTCGACACATACGACCATCTTCGCTCGATGGGTTTTAATCACGGCGGACCACCCAGCCCAGAGGCCTTACTCGTGGTGGATTTGTCTTCTTCAACCACCCAGCTCGGAGGCCTTAATCGTGGTGGACCACCCAGCCCAGAGGCCTTAGTCATGGTGGGTTTGTCTTCTTCGACCACCCAGCCCGGAGGCCTTAATCATGGTGGACCACCCAGCCCAGAGGCCTTAGTCATGGTGGATTTGTCTTCTTCGACCACCCAGCCCGGAAGCCTTAATCATGGTGGACCACCCAGCCCGGAGGCCTTAGTCATGGTGGGTTTGTCTTCTTCGATCAGCTCGAGCACCTCAACCTGCCGCAGGTCGAAGTCGAAAAGGAATTTCGATAAAATTAAACGAAGTTTTTCAACTCATCTTCTCCCCAACCCGTCGTGCAAGCTGGTCGAAGTCGAACAACGATTTTAGCAGCTTCATAGCTGATAAACAAAAGTTTTTCAACTCGTCTTCTCCCCAACCCGTCGTGCGAGCTGGTCGAAGTCGAGCACTGACGTTCGTTTTTTGTCGATATGACTAGTACTGTAACTATAGTTTGACTTGTTCGTAGTTAGTCTTGAGCTAATTTTTTTTTTTTTTTGAGAGTCCATTTAAAATATGCAACTTCACCGTTGTCAATAAATTGACTTCATAGTTGTAGGCTTCGTAGCCTTCTCGAGAATCTACTCGAGAAACACAACTTCGCAGTTTTTCAGATCGACTTCATAGTCGTATATTTTTCTACAATTCACCCATGAACTCAAGCTTCTCTAATTAAATTCTTCGGAGCTCCGAAATACTCGATGAATGTCCCGCATGACATCGTGCCTGAATGATCTACACATCCCAACTCGATTCTCGGTAAACTGAAGTCACACGCGACCTTGCGGAGCCCACGTAAATGGCTTTTTTTCATTTATTTTACATATATAATATTCATATATATAGCAAATTATTTGAAATAAAAATAAATAAAATATTTTTATTATTTGGGTAATTAACATTTTATATAAGATTAAATGTACATATATACCAATTTATTTGAAATAAAAAATAAATAAAAAATAATATATTTAATGTAGAGTAAAATGTAGAGATAAGGGCTGGAGATGAATGTTATATTTTATAATATAATAAAATG